AAAAAAAAAAAAAAAAAAAATCAAGACCCATGTTTATTATATACAAAAATAAAAAAAGGCCAAAAAATAGTTATTAAAAAATAATTAAATAGAAACTACCATTAACATAATTATTTTAGAATAATTTTATAAGAAATTATAATTGAATAAAGAAATCAAATTTACACGATCTATGTAATTAGGGTATCTTAAAAATGTAAATTTTTATTGCCTAATTATTTATTTCATTATCCACGAGTTGAGAAATTAAATACACAAAAAATGAATAACATGTACTAAATAATATTTAAATAAAAATTGTCCCTAATATAATTTTTTTAGAACATTTTTTTTTTTTTTTTGCAAATTGCATAATTATATATTGTTGTCGGTATTTTCAAAATTGTAGTAATTTTTTACATATTGAATAAATGTCGGATTTACATAATTTGCGTAATTAAGGTATATTAAAAAAATGTATTTAATAAAAAAAATTACACGAAAAATATAAAACACTTATTAAATAATAAATTATACAATTTAGTTAGAAATGTTTTACCAAATCACATAGTTGATATTGCAACTAAAATTTCCATATTTGGGTAAATCAACCAATTCACACGATCTAAGTAATTAAGGTATCTTAAAAATGAATTTTTATACGACTTAATTATTTCTTTAAATAATGAGCCGCAATTTCCATAAGTTATTATTTGAAATATACTATAAATTATTAAATTAATTTCCTGAAATAGTAAATAGATATTTTTGGAGAAAAATATTTACTATTTAAAAAATAATCAAAACTTTTTATATATAGATATAGGTCTTGTTTGGCGATCAGCGGATAGCGGATAACGGAAGCGGATTGTATTAGCGGATAGTGGATTATATTAGCTGATTTGACCAGCGAATCGCATTAGCGGTTTTTAAATAAGCTCCTCTAATGAGCTTTTTCTAGATTAGAGTTTTGAGCCCAAAAAGCTTATCAAATAAGTTATTTACCAAACAAGCTCAATAGCGGATTTGACGGGTCAAACCTCTCAATTAAGTCCAATCCGCTAATTTATCTTCAATCCGCTATCTTCCAAACGGGGCCATAGATTCTCCATAGAACTCAAAAAAGTACAAGTATTTTCCTACAAACTATCATAGTTCCTTGCAAAATGGAGGTCGCGACTCTATAACACTTAACAAGAAAAAAATTCATATCTAAAATTGCGAACGAAAGCTGCTTCGATAATCACATTTGTTGGTAAAAAATTACTATGCATATATTTCATTCGATACAAACATAAGAAACAGAAGCACTGCATTTCATGCTTTCTTTATTCACCAAAATGCTATTCATTTAATTATTACAGTACATTTGCACATTCAATATTCTTCAAATGCACATTTAGGGTGTATACACTTGCACTACAAACCTTGTACATTAATATCATATCATACATAAAAGCCAAAAATCAGTACAAAAATCGCCTTCTCCTTCTGTTTTGCTTAACAGGCACTGTGTTTTCACCATTGCCTGGAAATTCCCAACGGGCGATCATTCCATCCCACGAGGAGCTTACAATCATTGGGAAGTGCGGGTGCCAATTGCAGTCACGTACGACATCCTCATGGTATTCGAGCTTTGCCACTCGATCACCACTCAACTGCACAGGCCAAACCAGGTTCCAAGTTCAAGACAGTTACAGGGAGGAAACTATAGGAATGGAGAAAATAAATAAATTATCATACCAAAGAAGTTCAAGAACAAAAGTTGAGTACATACCACATCATAAACATAAACGGAGGAATCCGATGATCCTGTGTATATATACTTTTGCCCAGTGCTGTAGAAGTCAAAAACATGAAAATGCCCTAGTGTAAAAATTCCATCTAGTAATGATAATCAAATACCGTTCCATTAGAACAAAGAACATGTCACATGATACGCATTTATCCACAATTCAAGCTCATGACATTCGGGAAGATATTTCAATTACAAAAAGACATGCATAGCAAATGGCTCACAGATTTATGGCAAGAATATAATATAATATTCATATTCACCTATAGGCCGGCGAGAAATAACAGCGTATGAGGGTGCGCAAGACAGAATGGCCTCTATATGTAGCCAGTGACAGGTCACCAGGATGTCTCAAATTTCTCGCCTCTTCTGGATAGTCCATCCATCGGTAGTCCCATTCTGCATAGCGCCGTCTTGGGGTGCTAAAAAAAAAAAA